AGAGGCTCCAGAACATGAACCAACAGACCCAGAGTCTCCATCACCCACAAAGCCGGAGACTCCAACAGACCCTAAAGATCCAAAACCTGAACCTGAAGAACCAGAGACCCCAGTGCCTGAACCTGGAAAACCAGATGACCCTGAAAAGGAAAAACCGGGGGCTCCAGAATCCAAGCCGGGAAAACCAGAAACTCCGGTACCTGGGAAACCAGAAGTTCCAGTACCTGGAGAGGATGACCCTCATGACTTGTCTCCTAAGCCTAAACGACGTTCACCACCACCACCATTTACACAACCATTAGACCAGTCTTCACCACCACCTCCACCACCAGTACAATCACCGCCACCGCCACCGGTTTACTCCCCACCACCACCTGTCTATTCTCCTCCACCACCTCGGGTCTTCTCTCCTCCACCACCATCCCCACCACCACCATCTCCACCACCACCTGTTCATTCCCCACCACCACCATCTCCACCACCACCGGTTCATTCTCCTCCACCACCATCCCCACCACCACCATCTCCATCCCCACCACCACCATCTCCATCCCCACCACCACCATCCCCATCACCACCACCACCTTCTCCATCCCCACCACCACCTTCTCCATCCCCACCACCACCATCCCCATCTCCCCCACCACCATCTCCATCACCACCACCACCGTCCCCATCTCCCCCACCACCGTCTCCATCACCACCACCACCAGTTTACTCCCCACCACCGCCAGTCTACTCTCCACCTCCACCACCACCCGTTTTCTCTCCTCCACCTCCAGTTCACTCCCCACCACCACCCGTTTTCTCTCCTCCACCTCCAGTCCATTCACCACCACCACCACCACCACCACCACCCTCACTTCCATCTCCTGATCCTTCTTTTGATACTCCACCTTCAGACGACGACTTTATCCTTCCACCAACAATTGGATTCCAATACGCATCACCACCTCCACCAATTTTCCCAGGCTACTAAAAGTTCTGTCGCCTTTAAAAAGTATATTCAAGATTCAAGAAGCACTGTAAGCACGACTCGCCTCGGTAGCCAAACTTCTCATAAAGAAATTGTAAACTTGTAATTTAGTTGCTGTTCATTCTATGAAGATTGTAAGGTGAGAAGCAGAGAATCACTTGTTAGTAATATAAATCTGACTTCACTCTGTTTCTCTGAGCTTTTTCCCCTGTTCGAGTTTTTCTTTTTTCTTTTTTTTTTCCTTTTCTTTTCTTCCTCGGTTATTTTTGTATAACATAATGCAATGATACGTTCAGCTTAAAAACAAACACATTAAGAACAATAAAGAGACAGTTTCTTCAATATTCAACTTGTTATAATTCATTTTTTTTACTTTAATTTATAAATATATTTGTTTATTTTTCCTATAAATTTAAATATTCCATATAGATAATTTCTTGGTTGAAAAATTTCACAAAACTTTTTAAACCAATTATTTTTTCAAGTCACCTACAAAATGATAGTTTCCTACTCTGGCAACCCCTGAATCAAGCTCACAACTTTATCCATGGAAGGTCTATCTTTCGGTTCTCTCGAGACGCAAAGCTGAGCAACTCTAGCCATTCCAATCATATTTTCTTTCACTTCTCCAATTTCCATGTCGTATATGCCTTTTAATCCATCTTTCTTGGTCTTCTCTAAAATGTACTCTCCCAAGTTGGTCATTGAAGGTCTCTTCCCTGTTATAAGCTCTAGAAGTAGTACCCCAAAGCTGTATACATCAGACTTCTGTGTAAAGTTTTTGGGGTAGTTCCGACCATGTCTAAGTTCAGGTGCTATTCTTCCATGATTCCTTCTGATGATGAGAGATGTAGGTACCAGATAAGGTGTCTCATAGCTCGAGAGGCAAGCAGAAAAGTCGGTTCCAATCAAGATATTGGAAGATTTGATCACACCACAGACAAGAGCTTCACCATTTTTAGTCAACTGGTTGTGAATGGAGGCCACTGCCTTGGCTGCACAAAGTGCTATTTGCTTTCTGATTCCCCAATTCAATGGACTGAACTGGATTCCTTCGCTTCCTACATCGCAACAATTGATCAACAGTCAAAATTTTTATGGTTAACTAGGAAAATCTCATATATGCTACATGATAAATTAAGTAGGTAAAAAGAACACCGAATCTACATGATTCGATCAATGTGACCTACTTTACGAGGATGTATTTCAATTTATTAGAAATTACAACGCGTTTTTCTCTTTCAAACCCGAGTCTTTGTATGCCAAAATTGCGCAATTCGAGCTATAATATTTTCGGGTAGAATTAAGCCACTAAAGTTGGAAACTTTTCAAGTTATGGAAAATGGAATCTTGAAGTTCTTGAATTATAAAAGGCAACACAATATGGAAAACTACTTGTTCTTGATTTGGGGAAGATTGAAATTTACCCATGAACGAACAATGAAAAGCCACACAAGCTTGGAAACAGAGAAAAAATTTTTCCAGTAAAAATATCACTTTTCCCATCGTACCATGTAAGAGCTCCTCCAAGCTTCCCAGACACATATACTCATACAAAACATAAGCTTCACCGCCGTACCAGAAGCTGAAGAGAATGGGCAGCAACCACTCATCCCGAATCTCTTTGAAGAAATTAATCCACAGTTTTAGATCATCTGCACCTCTAATCAACTCGGTTCTTATTTTTCTGATTGTAACTATGGAACCACAGTTCAGAACAACTTTAAACAAGCTTCCCAGGGTGCCTTCTCCGAGCCTGGTTTTCGGAATCTGAGCCAATTCCCTCGGATCATACTTATCCACCACTATTTTATCTCCGCAAATCACCTCCACTGGCAGGGTCACCTTCACCTCCAGCAGCGACACCGGCGTCGTGGTAGTCACCCTTCCATCACTGCAGCCCGATCTGTTTCTGGCAGATGATTTGATGCAGAGGAAATAACTTAACATGCAGATAGAGAAAATGAGTGTAAGCACGAGAATGATAACCGGTCCAAGAAAAGATGGAACCTGCATTTGTAAAGAAGGAAAGCTTCAAGTCCTCGTGAAAGTTTCTGCAAGTAAAGCACGCCTGGTCGACTGAGGCTTGTTTGGCTTTCATGGTATGAGTTTTTCTTTTTGGTGGTACTGAATTAGTCTTTTAGCATAATCATTCTTGGATTTCTTCGCCCAGAAACCTTGGATTCATCAGCCATGATAGGAGGAGAGGGATACAAGTGTGCAAATATCTTATATGAATTGTGTTGCAGGGAAGAGTTTTCGAACTGTTAATAAGAAATTGTAATAAACTCGCTGAGATTTAATTTTATAATTAAATAATAATTTTATAACGAGTAAATTTTAAAAATAAAATTATAATTAAAATTTTAAATATATTTTTTTAAAACGTAAAATTTTAAAATATCACGTATTAAAATTATCACGTTTTACTATTAATTATTTAATTTAATTATTAATATATTTATTTTTTTTTTCAAAAAAATTATGAGTTTAAATCAAATATTATAATTAATATATATGTATAATTTAATTATTATTCTCACTTATAATTACAATTTTTGTATTGTTAAATTTATATATTTTTATAAATTATATAATTCATTTTGTATGTAAATTTTAATATAATTATATTTATAATAAATGTTATTTTATTTTTTTAATAAATTCATTTAGAACTCGGTTACCTTCAAATGCACGCTGAATCCCACCTTTCTGCAACCTGATATTCAACTTCCAACAATTTTGCTTCCAATATTGTATTAGATCTCGTTTAGATTCCTTGTGTACCGTAAGTACTGTTGAATTTCGGGAAAAAGAGAAAACCTTTTTCACTCAAAAAGCTCATTTCAATCCACTCTCGAACTCGGGAAAGAGGAAGAAGAAATGGAAGGTAATCAGGATCTGCATAAAGAAGGCGAAGAATCTCCTAAACAGGAAGAAGAACGAAAGGAGGAACCGCCAAAGGCTACGGGAGGAGGATGGGGTTGGGGTTTTTCTGCTCTATCTGTTCTCTCAGATCTTCAAAAGGCCGCGGAAGAGATCTCTCGCAATGTACGCCTCTGCCTCTCCGTTCTAGATTTAATTTTTGGTTACAGTGTATATTCTGTTAATTGTTTTTACGTTAGGTTATCATGGTACGAGATTGAGGGTTCGTGGTGTATCTGGTCTATGGGACTGAAATTTCGATTGGTTTTTTCTGGTACCATTTGGGAGGGATGAACTGTTTTGATGCTTAGTTCAGTAGGTTTTCTTCTGCTTACTTGATTTTTTCCTCCGCAATTTGGGTGGTGCAGTTGGTGTTACCTTTTGCAGTTTTCGTGTATCATGGGATTCAAATTTCATTGGTATTCATTTTTGTATCAGGGCAAATGTTTTGAGTCTTTGTGTTCATTTATTGTTTTTGTGATAATAAAGTGGAAATCTAACGATTGTGCTACCTAACATGGTCTCACTTGTATCATTGAAGTTATGGATTAATCATGGAGGTTGTCATTGGGTGCCCGAAATGAGCTCCGGGTTCCATACTAGGGCTACACTAGAGCCTTGGTGCCCTAGAGCCCACCCTCTTTGCAATAATGGAGGTTGCCTTTCGCTTGTGCTAAATTAGACATTCTTTAAGTTTGTTTGTATTTTTTTTCTTCTAGAGCTTGAATTACTCTACCTTTTTGTTCAAAATGTTGTTTTTGAGTCTAAGATGCTAGTTGTTTTCTTTGAATACTGATGTCTTGTAAGTTAGTAGATTTCTCATCATGGTGGTCTGACCATTTTTATTAATGGAAGCACCACTATTCTCGGTTGACTTCTGGACAAATTAAATGATATGGGAAGCAAAACAAATTGATATATCTGCGAGAATTATTTCCAGACCTAGTTTTAGCATATTTTTTGGGCTTCTTGTGAGTTTCCGAAATAATTTCTTATAGACCCGTAGTATCAAATTTGTTATTGCTCTTGTGATACTCTTGAAACTCGTTAGAAACTTTATTTTTGTTTATGTGCCACAGTATTGGAGACAAAAAAAAAAATAGATGTTTCTGTATCTCGCTTTTAATGTCCTTGTTAGAACATTTACAACTTTTTTGAACAGTATTTACAATCTTGTCTATTCAGGCTGTTGTGGTTGCAGAGAAGGCAGCAAAGAGCATTTCAGACATCCAAAACACAGCTGAGGATGAAGAATCTTCTGAGGGTGAAGATGCTGAGGAACCTGCTACTGAAAAAGTTAGCGATGGTGAGAAAGAGAAGTTGCGAAAGTCTGCTTTGGACAAACTGGAGAATGTGAGTGAGGACACCTTACTTGGTCAGGCAAGTATATATTCACTCTCATACTGGTTATAGTGACTTTTCTCTTTTTGTCTACGTTTGTTTCTGCTTGCATCTATAAGTTGTACAGTAATTGAGAGAATGTAATGTGCTCCTCTTTTCTACGTCATGTTTTTCCATTTTTGGTGTTTTCTTTCTTATCTATAATTTCTGTCAATTTTCTTTATTTGGTGTATCTTTTGATCTAAAGAGTGCGCAATATTTCAATATTTGCAGGGTTTAAAGGCTCTTGACAATTCTGTTGAGAACTTCGCTTCTGGGGCCTGGCAGGCATTCGGCAATGCGTTGAGAGGGGGTTCAAATTTGGTCCAGAAGTATGTTTGATCACTTATTAATGTATGATTGTCTAATAATTACCTTTAGTTATTGCCGTAATGAAGAAATGGTGATGGTTAACATTGCATCTGAAAGGATTTTCCATGCTACATTATATGGTCTAGGAAGTTGGT